AAGCTATAAAAAGATCCAAATGGAACTTGTAGAAATAATAAATAAAATGAAAAATAAGTTGCATAGAATTACCAACGGATTAGAAACCACAGGAGAAAAGCTCAGGGAACTTCAAGAAAAAACAATGGAAATTATCCAAAATGAAGCAGAGACATAAAGGATTGAAAAACGGAATATTGTCCTTGAGCTCTACAAATTCAAGGGTCTAATGCATGTCTAACTTAAGTTTCAGAAGAAGATAGGGAGGGAAAGAAATATATTTAAAGAAAAAATGGCTGATAACTTTTCAGGTTTGGTTATAAATTCACAGATACAAAGAAAAAGAACTGTAAAGAATATTACTTCGAGGTTCATCATAATCAAGTTTCTTAAAACAAATAAAAAAATCTTAAAAGCCGTTGGGGTGGGAGGGGGACAAGGACAGGAAAGGACATATTAGGTACAAGGAATCAAAGCTAAGAATGGCAGCCAACTTTTCATCAGAAACAATGCATGTCAGAGCTCAAATTTAAAGTGCTAAAATAACTTTAAAAAATAATTGTTTAAAGGAAAAACTATAAAACTACATTGCAGGGTTTTTAACTTACGTAAAATAAAAATGTGTAACAACAATAGCACAAAGGATGGAGGATGAATGTTGTAAGTTTATTACACTATATGTGAAGTGGTGAAATATTATTTAAAGTCAGACTGCAATAAATTGAATATATATCCTGTAAAGCATGAGCTCTCAAATTGGTTGGTCTGAGGATCCCTTTATATTCTTACAAAGAGATTCCGAGAAGACTCCAAAGAGGTTTTATGTGGAATAGAGATAGAGACAGAGATAGAGGTAGAGATATATCCCATTAACCATCAGAATGGTGACATTATCTCACACCATGTAGACTCTGGGAACCTTGCACATACAACTGTGAGACTATGAAAGTGGAAGAGGCAAATAATGTCTTATTGTTGTTATAAAAACAGTTTTTGTATGCCAGACTCCTTGAAAGGTCTCCCTAGGGTTCCCCGGACCATACTTGGATGACAGCAACCTTATACCCTTAGCCTTATGAGAGATAGGTAACCTTACTTTGGTAATTTGGTCCTTGGAATGCCAACTTCTTCTTTTCTTTTCTTTTATTTCTTTTCTTTTCTTTCTTTACATCACTGTTCTGATTTAAGCAAGTATTTTCTTTTAGAAAGCCAGGTTTTAGATGCTTAATGTTATAAGCCAGGCCTTCTCCATTCCAGAGGCATTTGTCTGGCCTTTAGCTGTCTCCTGTTTATTTGTTTTAATAGGGATTTCGGGAATCTCATTTAAAGATATTGACAAACATGTCGAGGAGCAGCATGGTGTTATAAAAGAGTTCATGACTGAAAATCTGGCCCTGAACAGATTCTACCTTTTATAGCAATAATGGCTATCATGAACTGACTCTCTGCTATGTCAGGATGCCATGCTATGTACCAGTGCTAAAACTACCCATCACCAAGTTTCATCAATTATTGATTCTTGGTCTATGAAATTATGTATCATTTAATTTACATATATGTTTATGTATATATGTGTATAATTTTAATTTTCATCTCAATTTCATAAGGTAGATTGTATTATTACCATTTTATAGATAAGGAAACTGAGGCATCAATAGGTTAAAGAATATGTCAAAAGTCATCCTGCAATGGAGATGACAGGATTTGAATCTAGCCAATTCTACTTTTAGTTTTATTAAGGATAATTTCAAATATATATAAAAGTATACAATAGGGAACAGTGAAACTCCATGTACCCATCACCAAGTTTCATCAGTTATTGATTCTTGGTCAATCTTGTTTCATTTATATTGCAATCACATTTACCCATATCATATTATTTTGTTTTTGATTATTTTAGTATATATTTCTAAATTTCTACTTTTAAAAATACAACTACAATACCATATTACACCTAAAAATTACTGACTATTCCTTAATACAATCAAATATCCAATGTATTCAAATTTCCAATTATTTTGATTCAGAATCTACCAAAAAGTCAAATATTGTGATTGATCAATATGTTTTTAAGTCTCTTTTAATCTGTAGATTCCCTAACTCCATTTCATTCTTTGTAATTTATTATTGAAAAAATTAGGTTTGTACTGTAGAGCTTTTCCATACTATGAGTTTTGCTTATTGTATACTTGTGATAGGTTTAATATGTTCCTCTGCTCTTTGCTCTTACTACAAATTGGTGGTTGGACCTAGAGGACAGTATCTTTTGTAATATAGTAAATAAAAAACAAGGATGGGCTGGGCGTGGTGGCTCACGCCTATAATCCTAGCTCTCTGGGAGGCCGAGGCGGGCGGATTGTTTGAGCTCAGGAGTTGGAAACCAGCCTGAGCAAGAGCGAGACCCCGTCTCTACTAAAAATAGAAAGAAATTAATTGGACAACTAAAAATATATAGAAAAAACTAGCCGGGCATGGTGGTGCATGCCTATAGTCCCAGCTACTCGGGAGGCTGAGGCAGGAGGATCGCTTGAGCCCAGGAGTTTGAGGTTGCTGTGAGCTAGGCTGACGCCACGGCACTCACTCTAGCCCAACACAGTGAGACTCTGTCTCAAAAAAAAAAAAAAAAAAAACAAGAATGTTTTTCACTTCTTTTGGAAGCCCATTGGATTGAGTTACTATTTCAAGTCCAGCTAATTTTGTTTCTCTCTATTTGGAAATGCTGAGGGAGACTGGAGATTATCGAATAATAATGGTGTGAAACATTAGGGATTCCATTTTACATCAGGGAAGAGTATACACTTGGCATTGTACTGGTCACTCACAAGGATATATGACTCTGATGGGAAATTTTTCTCTTTTCCAAAGAAAACTTCTGTTATGCAATCAGGTGGAAAGATTTCTAAAGCTGCCATGTGTGGTGGGGGAGAGCACCTTGCTATTGGACCTGTATCTCATTGTCTGGAAAAAGATGGACAGGAGGGTAAGCACAGCGAAGAAGTGGGTGGTAGACAGGTTATACCAGGGGTCAGGCAAAAGGCAATTGCTACATGTAGTAACATGAAGAGGGATAAGGGATAAAGTTCAGAGCTTCTTTGTATCGCACATAATATGTACCTAATATCTACTTTCATTCTTCTTTAAAACAAAAAATTATAGGTCCAAAATAGAAGTTGTGTACGCTAAGTGATTCAGGACCCTGGATAGCTCATTAATTTGCCCAGCTGTGTGGGTGTCTGTGCACTTGCGCCGGCGGGCGTCTGTTATATGCTTTAGTTGAATTGAGTCTGCAGTTAAGATATCGTGTGCAAGACCAGAGGCTCTGAGATGGGGGTATGAGGTTGACTAATTTCAGGGAATACCTTAAGAGAGAGAAGAAGGATCTTTAGGAAGTAGCAGGGGCTGGAGCCCAGTGGTCATTGTCAGTCACCTTATTCACAGGAGCTGGAATAAGCCTCTGTTGTTCTGGGACAGGCCTCAGCTGTCCTTCAGACTGTGATGGCTTCATGTCCCTATCTCCTCACCCAGAGACTGCCTGTATTATAGCTCCTGCGCATTAGTTTGTCCACATTTAATAAGCTTGCATCCTGTCTTGGATGGGACTCGGGCGAAGAGACAAAGCTTCAATCTTTGGGTAATCATTCAGGATACCTCCTCCACTTTGGAGAAGAGTTGGGTTTACCACATCACTTTCTTTTATCCTCTGATGCCAAAACCCAGTGCTAGTTGACACATCATCAGGCCTGCATCTCTTTTAAACACTTAAATAACCACACTCATTTTATTCTGTTCTAAGCACCTATGAGCACTTGCATTTGCTACCTAGATCTAGATGGAACTTTGATATGAAAGACTCTCTCCCAGTTACAATGTTCTTTCTTCCTCTAGGAACAGGTGAATTATATTCATTTTACAAGGGACATTTGGCATTCCTATGACTAGAAAATCTGTCTCTCATCCTGCCTTAGAGCTTCACAAGAGGAGCTGTGCCCTCTGCAGGTCCAGCCAGCTAGTCAAAGTTCAGTATGACCTCATGCTTGTCAAATTGGCATCTTCTACTTTTCCTGATTCTCCCAAGCTACAGAAAGAAAGTGTTGTCTAATGCCTTGTGAAAGAAACCATAACATCAAATTCAAATAAAAATATTTTACTTATGAATTAGTACCTGTTCTTGCCCTTTCTCCTATCTTCTGCTCTCCTTCTCTCTTCCTCTCTCCTTCTTTTCCTCTCTCTTTCTCTCTCTCCTCTCCCTCCTTCTTCCTTTTCTCTCTCTTTCTCTCCTTCTCCCTCTCATGCCCAGCTATAGTAGCTTCTGTGTATTGAAATTAAATGACTTCACAAGTCACTCTCCTCTATGCCTGCTCCCTTTGGCTTCTTGTTACTACTTGTACATTATCATACAATGTGTGGAGCACCATGCAAATTTCTATAACAACAAATTGTCCTTTACCAAATAGAGAGGGGTAGCTAATAAGTATTAGGAACTCAAAAAGTCAGTGGATTAATTGTTCTTGTGACACAAGTAAAATTTGGGAAAGGGCTATTCATCAACTGCTAACTAAACCTCTACATTTTACAAATGAGAAAACAGAAAACCTTAAATGAGGTTCAGAAGAGTTACTACTTCCTTAAAGGTCACGGAGCTTGTTTGTGCAAAATTTCAGTTTAGTGTTCTATACTGTATACCACTACAGCCCACTGTAATATGATCTCCATAAAGGCAGAAATTATACCTGTCTTGTTAACTAATATTTCCTCAATGCTTACTATAGACACTAAATATCTTTTGAATTAATGAATAAATTATACTTAAGTCTCTCAAACTGGGATACACATTGTGATACATGAAATCATGGAAGGAAAACATGTATAATTTCATGAAATGTTAATTCATATTTGTCTTCAGGGTTAGTTTATATCTTATAACTAACAACTTAAAATTTTACTATTAAATTAATTCATACTATGAAATGAATGGTAAATATGAATACATTTTATAAATAAAATGAATATATATCAAAGTCATTACGTGTTCAAACAGAATTTTTGACCTCTACTCCAGGGAGTCTAGTGTTCCTAGATCTTCCCATTTTTATAGGTAAGCTAGAAATCTATAATAATTTTTAGTGTGATGCCTGATTTTTAAATGGTGATAATTAACTCAGAGTTATGTGGAGCAAAAGAAATAAAAATCCTTGCTCCTGAGCACCTGTGGTAACATCTGAGAAAAAAATTTGTTTAGACAGGAAGTAGACATGGGACAAGCCCATCTGGGTGTTGGTTGTCATGGCAGCTGCCATTCTGACCCTGACCACTTCTCAGCTTCAAACTAGCCAGAACTCAGAGGACAAAAGGTAAAGGCAAGAGACTCGATAGGTTAGGACAAATTTCTGCCTTAACCATCTCCCTCTGTAGGCAGCCTCTAACTGAGAGTAAAATATTTAGATGTTTTTAAAAAATCATAATCACATCACAAAAAGAAAAGAGCCAGACAGAGGAAATTCGAGGGACATTTCACATCTATTCTGCTATATAATAGGCTGTTAGTATGATTATGAAAGGAAGTCTAAATTAAATAATTTATTCTACCTCATTGAGTAATGATACTATTTTTGAGAAAAATCACTGAAAAGCATTTACATTACAAGTGGACTAAAGCATTCTACATAATAATGAATGCACAATTGTATGAATGATTATAAAAATTTGACAGCTCATCAATGGAATCACACATTTGGTCTGAAGATAATTCAATAGTTTTCCCATTTCAATAAAACCAACATGAGATTAATATATTTTGTTATTGCACTTTTTTGTTTTATAATTTTTATATGTGATATAAAAATATGTGCCATATATTCTATCTCAATCTATTCTAAAGAAGATATATATGCTTCTAATAAATGGCATATCTAAACATTGTATATGAACTGAACTAAGATTTCCTAGCTGAATCCCCATGTGTGCTGACACAGCCCCTGCTTCTTCCTGTCTGTGATGGAGTCTCTCCCCAGGGGCCCTATTTCTTGTTGAGGTTTTTGTAGGGCTCCCACAGGCACCCGTCTCTCTGTGGCTTCTCTCAGAGCACAGAAATACACAGCTGAGTCCATGAGCTGTGAGGCTGTGATGGTGAGGCTGATAGAACTGGTGGATTTCTGGAGGTTCAGAAAATACCGATCCTTTGTTTCATTTTTCTCATTAAAGGAGTCCTGACGAATAAGGAAAATCATTTCTCCACTTGGTGGTTGTTTGTACCAGAATAAGTAATAAGTCGGATCACGGGTTTCATACACACAGTCCAAGGTCACACTCTCCTTCTCCACCACAGAAATTTCAGGCTGAGCTTGAGTTACCTTCTGGGCCATGCTGGGTCCTGTAGGAAAGAGGAAAGAGATAGACTGATCCCTTTTTTGTAACCCTAGGGATATAAGGGATGAAGTGGCTTAGGACCCATGCTCCCGTTGTATGCCATTATCCCTTCTTTCTAAGCATCATTAGACCACAGTGTTCCGCGTCTCCCCACATCAGTCAGAGCAAACGGGAGCCTGAGTCCTGTGCTTGTGGTCATCCTTACCAAGACAGATGGAGGCTATGACCGCCCTCAGCAGGCTGGCAAAGAGCATATTGGCAGCTTTTACCCTGAGTAAAGTGTTCTGTGTTCTGTAACCAATCCAGATCTTAATTCTGCACCCTGCACTCAAGAGGTGCAGTGCAAGAGGTTACTGGGCTGAGTGGTGCTTCTGCCGCATACAGGAAATACAGCTAGCAGATATAGGACGAGTTTAACTGTGTCTTGTCACATGCTTCCTGTGTAGGTGGGAGATGCTAGGCTATCCTTAGTGCCTGTTTTGTCTCATTATAATCTACTGGACTTGAAATAAACAGCAGTAAAATCAAATCATCCTCAGTTAATTCATCTTTGATGAAAAATATGGAACTTAAAATTTATTATGAGCTATAGTCAATACACAGTTTAACACAGTTATGCACCTTTTATATATGCTTCGTTTTCTCTAGACAGAACTAAGATGAAAAGTAATCAGAGTTTTGACTCTCTAACAAAAAGGCAAAGGTTTTAGTCTCAATCTTTGTTCCTACCTTGCCATTTGTGGAATCTAGCAAAAGTTGAATGAGAAATATTTTATTGTTAATGAATGATTTCATATCATACCTCCAGAGTCACAAAATCTGTCAAGTGTGTGCCGTGTCACATAACAACAAGGAAAAATACATATATGTATATTTTCACACACATCTTGTTTATATGTGTTTCTGTGTAAACAAAAATATATTCCAAAAATTCTACTCAGTGCCCCAAGACAGGAATTTCTGCTATAACTCAATACGTGCATTCCTGAAAATCCTTCTGGTCTTCCAAATCACATACATTAATTATAGTGGAAATCAGGATAGAGGAAAACACAAAAATATACAATTTGTAACCAGAGCATTATCAAAAATAATAGAAATCCTAATAAAAATACCAGCAGAGTTCAACTACATTAGATTTGTTCCTTGCATCACAGTCAGTAAATTCTTTATAGCTTTAAGATACTGGGACTTGAGTTTTACCCCTTTACATATAGGTCCATGAGAGGTCATGTATTTACAATAAGACCGAGTTTATCAAAATTTTGTGTTATTGTTCTTCATAAATTTGTATCTTTAACACCAGATGTAGGGATATCATCACAGTCTTATTTTCTATGGACTTTATTTTTTAGAACAATTTTAGGTTCACAACAAAATCGAGCAATTGAGCAGAAGATTCAGAAATTTCCCATATAGTCCCTGCCCCCATAGGCATAGCCCCCGCATTATCAACGTCCTGCACCAGAGTGATATATTTGTTATAATTGATGAACCTACATTGACATATCAGTATCACTCTGAGTCATTAGGGTTCACTCTTGCTGTTGTACTTTCTATTGGTTTAGTCAAAAGTATAAGAACATGTACCGACCTTTATAGTATCATACAGATTAATTTCTCTGCCCTAAACTCTTCTATGCTCTGCCTATTCATCCCTTACTGCTCCCTAACCCCTGGCAACCACTGATCCTTTTTCTGTCTCCATAGTTTTGCCTTTTCTAGAATGTTGTATGGCTGAAATCATACAGTATACAGTCTTTTCAGATTGATTTCCTTCACTTAGTAATATTCATTTAAGGTTTCTTCAAGTCTTTTCATGGCTTCAAAGCTCAATTTTTTGTTTGTTTGTTTGTTTGTTTTGAGACAGGGTCTTGCTCTGTTGCCCAGGCTGGAATACAGTGGCACAATCATAGCTCTTTGTGACTTCAAATTCCTGGGCTCGATTGATCCTCCTGCCTCAGCCTTCCAAAATGCTGGGAGTGCAGGGGTGAGCCACCATGCCCAGTTGATTTTTAAAACAGAGTTTGAAATTTATTTATGTTTCTTAAGGGACATTAACAAAGGTCAGACTCATAACTATAGCAACACTTCTTTTTTTTTTTTTAATTATTCCAGGGTATTGTGAGGGTACAAACATTACGGTTACACTTTATGTCTTTGCCTCACCGAGATGCAGGTTAAAGACATGCCCTTCCCTCCCTTTAGTGCTCCCTGTGTCCTTTAGTTGTAGATTTGCCCCCCATCCCCCTAATATATAGCAACACTTCTTTAAACACCCCAGTTTTTTCTTTACCCAAGAAGTACTCCAGAGTCTCTCACTATCTCACACATTTTTTCTCCACTGTCCTCCAAAAATCTCCCCCACAGCTCACTTATTTTTAGCACTGACTATATTCCATTGTCTCATACCAAAGTTTATTTTTCCATTCACCTACCGATAAGCATCTTACTTGCTTTCAAGTTCTGGCAATTACGAACAAAGCTGGTATAAATATCTCTGTGTAGATTTTTGTGTGGACATAAGTTTTCAACTACTTTGGGTAAATACCAAGGAGCACAATTGCTGGATTGAATTGTAAGAGTATGTTTCATTTTGAAAGAAGCTGCCAAACTGTCTCTGTAAGTGGCTGTAACATTTTACATTCCCACCAGAAATGAATGAGAGTTCCTGTTGCTCCACATCCTTGCCAGCACGTGTTTTTGTCAGTGTTCTGGAATTTAACCATTCTAATAGGTGTGTATTGGTATCTCATTATTTAATTTGCACTTTCCTGATGCCATATTATGCAGAGCATCTTTTCATATGCTATTTGCTATCAGTATATCATCTTTGGTAAAGTATCTGTCATAGTCTTTGGATCATTTTTAGTTAGGTTGTTTGTTTTCTTATCCTTGAGTTTTACATGTTGTTTATATATTTTGGATAACAGTGTCCTTTTTCAGTTATGTCTTTTCCCAACTGTTTTCTACCAGTCTGTGGCTTATCTTTTTATTCTCTTGACAGTATGTTTTACAGAGATGAAATTTTTAATTTTTTTACAACACATTTATACTTCTTTATTTTCACTACTGTATATTATTCTGTGGTAAGAATAGAAGAAGCTCACAAATACGGCATAGAGTATCACAAAAGACAAAGTGCAGAAAACACGTGGTGTAATGCCATATAAAGGTAAAGCATACCACTTACATATAGTTAAAGATACATATGTGGCTAATGTAGGCAGTAAAACTACAAAGAAATTCATTAGAATAATAAATGCCAAATTCAGAACAGTGACTAACTTCTAGGGGCCAGTGAGAAGATCAGAAAGGGCTCCCTTGGGGCTTCAACTATGTTGGTATTGCTTTATTTCTTAAGACGGGTGAGGGGTATATTGGTGTGCATTATATAATTATTTATACTTTTTTGCACTTCTAAATTAATGCAAGATATATTTAAAATATGTTAAAGTATAGGATTTGACTCAGGTTATGAATAGGAGAATGACAATGAACTAAGTTGATTCCACATAGTCTCAATAAATTATAGTTGTATATATTTATGGGGTATAAAGTGGTTTTATGATGTTTTTAAAATTTATTTCAGAATATTATGGGGGTACATTTTGGTTACATAAATTGCTTTTGTACCATTTGAGTCAAAGTGTGCCCATCACCCAGATAGTGTGTCCTGTACCCATTAGTTGTGAATTTACCCATCCTCTTCCTCACTCCCCCACCTGCGTGATTTCTGATGAATGTTATTTCCATATGTTCACATAAGTGTTGATTGATTAGTTCCAATTTAATGGTGAGTACATGTGGTGTTTGTTTTTCCATTCTTGTGATACTTCACTTAGAAGAATGGTCTCCAGTTCCATCCAGATTAGTACAAGAGGTATTAGTTCACCATCTTTTTTATGACTGAGTAGTACTCCATGGTATACGAAATTTTTAATTTTAATGAAATCTAGCTTATCCATTCATTATTTCATTGATCATGTCTTTGGTCATTTCCAAACCCAAGGTACACAATGAAAAACTTGCCCCTGAGAGTTCATTAGTGTGACACAATTATTAACATGCTTGGGAAAAAATCAGAGAATCAATGCAACTTCCACATCTTATTGACATCATATCTTTATTTATTAATTGTATAAAAACAAATTTCTAAAAAGAGATATACATTATAGCAGAACAGAAAATGCTGTGTTCTATATTCTCAATGAGCAGACACATTTTCCATGCAAAGTATTCTTTGTATTTGGGAAATACAGAGTCCCTATTTCCGTGGTGAATACTCCTGTGTCTCCTGATAACAGCCAGCCACTGAAGCTCCTATAGCAAGACTATTCAGTCAGAATGCATCTAAGCAAATGTATGGTTCAAGAACATAAAAGATGGTGACTGAGTTTTTTGGCTTCAATATATATATAGACTCTTATGATTGTCATTTGAGTAAACTACAGCTTGTAATATTGCATTAGGTTTTTCCTCAAATGTAAACATAACAATGATGAAATCTAAGAATACAATTGTATTATTGAAAAAAAAGAAGACAAACTTCTAGATGGCTCTGTTATGTAATTGTTAAGAATATTGATCGTGTATCAACAGATTTAAGTCTCTTTTTGGTATAATTCATTATTTTTAAGGGGCATTTTGTTATATAGTTATTCATTTTATATCTATAAAGCAATGTTGGTACCAAATAAAACAAACAAAAACAGAACTCCTAACTCAAAATATAATAGAGTTTAAAATAACAGAGCACATGTACATGAATGTTCACAGCAGCTTTACTTATAATGGCTGGAAAATGGAAACAACTCAAATGTCCATCAACTGATGAATGGAGAAAGAAATTAATGATATAGTCATACGATGGACTATTATGTGGCCACAAAAGGTAGTGAAGTACTGATACATGCTATATCATGGATGCACCTTGAAAACATTATGCTGTGTGAAAGGAGCCAGATACAAAAGTCCCTATATCATATGATTCTATTTATATAAAATGCCCAGAATATACAAATCCACAGAGCTAGAAAGTAGATTAGTGGTTGTCAGTAGCTGGAGGAAGAAGAGAATGGGAGTAACTGATGATACACACAGAGCTTCTTTGCAAGGTGGTGAAAATGTTCTGGAATTACATAGTAGTAATGATTGGACACTCTGTGAATATACTAAAAACCATTTACTTGTAACATTTAAAAAGGATGAAGTTTATGGTATGTGAATTATATCAATAAAGCTGTTATTTAAAAAATATAGAGGTGAAAATGCTCATATTAACCATAGCTAAAGTGACTCAAGTGCTGCAGTGGGAAGGAGGACTAGGGCTTAAGGGAACCTGCCAGCATCAGGACAAAGTGAGACTATTATAATATTTCAGTCTTAAAGAAGAAGATGATCTCTATGGGACTCCAGATGCAGATTTACTATGAAATAAATTAGCTTTGATTTCAGGGCCTTTTCCCACCTCAGGACCCAGAAACTTGTATTTGTAATTTTGTTCTTAAAGAGAGCTCCAGAAATTAAAGAAACTTCAGGTCCTGCAAAACTTGCCTCCTCTGTACCTGTCAAAGCCACAGAATCATGCAAGATGGATAAAAGACAAACAAGGCACAAGGCTCATAGACCTTTAGAATATTAGTGAAAGTTTCTCTTGGTGAGCTACACCCTCTGAGAGTTTCAGTGAGGGGATGACATTTCTGTTTTGTACTCCTTTGGTGTAGAGAAACATGAAATTATTTTATCTATTTGGGGTCCCAGGGAACAAGAGTCTATGTGTATCCTCCTTTTTTATAGACAGTCACCTAAGTTCTTCCTTGGCTGCTGAAATTTGACACATTTCAGAAGGATCATGGGCATAAATGCAATGACAAAAATAATATGTTAGGTTCCACAGTTATAGCCATGTCCAGAATCCAGGAGTTCTTGTAGTCCAGATCCTAAAGTCCAGAATCTGGATCATTATTTGGAGTTACAATAAACAGGTGCTGTGTTGGCAGGAAGGTCAGTGAGGAGGTATCTCAGTGCAGGGTGAGCAAGACACACCATGGACACAGCCTTTACTGACGGGCTGTTCTGAAACCACAGGGCCTGTGTCAGAAGGAAAATCTCTCGTCAGGACTGTCTCCTCATAGAACTTATTTATGCAGCAGTATTTTGAGGCAAACGTAAGAGAAAGAGAAGTCAAGTGAAGAGAGAATAAATACAACAGTCTCTGGAGATGAAATTTCTACAGGCGAAACTCAGCAAGACATACAACTCTCATCCGAATTGTAAACACAAGGAATGAGATTCAAGGTGACACATTAGTCCAGGAACTATTTTTCCTCAGAATTTTTATTAATAGGTTATGAAATATTTCAGTGAAGAGCAATTGAACTGTCATGTAGCAGAGTTAATGTCACTTTTCAGGGTGGTATATCATCCGGGAGAAAGAAGAAACATCTGGGCTAAAAACAGAGGCATTTCTAGAAAACGGAATTTAGATTTCTTTTTATACTGTGTCCCCTCCGATTCCTCTCTGGAGAGTAATCCAAGAACTCCACTTTTCCTTGGCTCTGAAGAATCAGAGCTGGAAGTAGTTGGAAGAAGCCCCCAGCATAGAACACCGGAAAGAGGAAATAATGCCCCCTCCTCAAGGCTGCACACGCCCGGGCCCCACCTGCGCCCCTCAGGGTTTGTGCAGGGCTCCCCCCGCAGTCCCTCTCGCTGTGTCTCTCATCGCGCAGTAGTACACGGCCGAGTCTGACAGCTGCACTGAGGGTTTCTTCAGGTGGAAGGAGCTGTCGCTCTTAACATTATTGGCCTGAAAACCTCTGCTGTCCATCTCCTGGGTTTCTGATGAGCTCTTCAGGAGGAGCACAGGCTCTTTGTTTTGAAACTGGACATACCAGAAAAGGAAAGCTGCATAGCTGCTCTGGTAAGTGCAGTTCAAGGTCAGAGCTTCCCCCTCAGGCAGGGTAACTGGGCCTTCTGTCTGGGTCACGGAGTCTCCATTGGTCCCTCCTAAAACCAGCAAAGGCTTTGTTAAATTGGCAATGTAAGATCATAGTCCCCAGTTTGGAGGAGGTTAAAGGTCAACCTAAAACCAAGGAACAGGACATCTAAGAAGTTTTGAGTAAGCGTTACTCACTGAATATCAACAAAATCAGAAGTCCTGAGCAGGAAGCAGACAGCATGGCCAATTGAGAAGCAGTAGAATGTCTTGTTCAGGGATACACCAAAGCTGAGAGGGCTGTTTCTCTAGCTTCTTGATCCAAATCTGGCTTGTGTGTAAAGCAGGACAAACGGCTCTGCAAGATCATGCCACAGGCTGTAGAAAAGAGAGATATGCTCAGGAAAGGAAGATGAATTTGTGTGGAGCCACCACCTGAAGGGAGCAGTGCCCTCCTGTGGCCCCTCTCTGCTCCTGCAGCTTGGCACCTTCGAATGACATTTACCCTGGAGAGGAGCTTAAGCTGCAGACCTGGAAGGGAAATGGTGTCTGAGGTGAAGGGCGGGACTCCAGAAAGGAAGCACCAAACGCTCTCTGCAGACTTCACGGTGGAACCTGGGGCTGAGACAATGGGTAATTCTTCTGTCACCCTCTTTAAGGTGCAGGGCGATGTGATGCCCTTAAATTTCCCCAGTCGCATCATCTAACGTCTGTTCACACCAACAGGTAAATTAGTTTAGGCATTTTAAGGTATCCCGAGAGTATTAAATAAAGCACATTGTGAGATCTCTTCTTGGCATAATCCCTGGAATGAGGAGGTGAGGGCCTCTTCTTAGAATGCCCTTCCATCTCTCCCCTACCTTTTTGCCTCAATAACTCCCGTTCATTCTTTAAGAACCAAAGTACACACCACCTCCTTGTGAAAGCACTCACTCTTTCTTCAGGCTGCGTCAGTGCCCACCATCCCCCCACCGCGTATTTTCTGTACATATCTATCACTGTCCTTACCACATCAAATTAGAATCATTTCTGTCCTGTTTCTCAAGCTGTAGCTGGTGCTCCTGAGATCAGAAACTTAATCCTATTAGTATCAGTAACTCATTTCCCAAAATATACAAGCCCTCAGCTCATATGAGATGCTTAAAAAGTATCTGAAGAACGGGTGAATAAATGGATGAATGGATATGTCCGGTGCGTAAAATATCTTTTGATGAGGGACAGTCTGTATGAGAGGATGTGTCTTAGGCCCCTAGTGTGACCAGCTTCTTCCAGAGGCAGATTCAGGACCTGATAACAGTTGCTTTCAGTGTTTCTCAAAATTGAGTAAGGGGCAGATCTTCTTATGAGTTCTCATATTGACTATTTTTTTTAAATATTGTGCTACCTTTTTATACATAACAATAAAATTAGATATCAATTTTTAGGCTCCTGGGTTTTATACAGATACCAAATCAGACAAAAAAGGACAACAAAATATAAAATCAATAAAAGTCAAATTAAAACATTAGTGTAAGGAATGGTCTTTCATTGAAACTAAAGAGGGCTGGGCATAGTGGCTCATGCCTGTAATCCTAGCACTCCGGGAGGCCGAGGCAGGAGGATCGCTTGAAGTCAGGAGTTCAAGACCAGCCTGAGCAAGAGCGAGACCCTGTCTCTACTAAGAAAATAGAAAAAATTAGCTAGGTGTGGTGGCAAGCACCTGTAGTCCCAGCTACTCAGGAGGCTGAGACAGGAGGATTGCTTGAG